CCAAAAAACTGTACTTTTACATCTGGGTGTCCAAATCTTAATCCGACCGTTGGATTTCTCTAAAATTTGGGTCACAAGTAAAACCTTTTATAAGCTTCGTGTGGGCTTTGGAATCACATCAATCGGATATCAGATGGAGAAACGATGCACTCCAGAATTTGCTTCGAAGGAGCTGTCATGACAGCAAAAGTGCTGTCATGACAGCAATATTTGTTGATGTTGCAACATGTACAAAATTCAATCCGTCTGTTGGACCTTTTCAAAATTTGGTATGCTAATAGTACTATTTAAAAGTAACATGTGAGCTTTGGAATCACTCTGACCGGAGGTCGGATGATGAAATGGTGCACCTCGAAAGTTAGTCCGGAGGTGCTGTCATGACAGCTTTTTAGCTGTAATGCAGCAAAAATGACTAAATTTTTAACATGTCTAATTTTTAATCTGACCGTTGGATTTTTTTTTGAAATTTAGTACACTTATAGTACTCTTTAAATGTGACGTGTGGGATATAAAATTACTTCGATCGGAGGCCAAACGGTGAATCGGCAGCTCCTGAAAGTTTGCCCAGGAGGGCTATCATGACAGCAAAATTAATGCTGTCATGACATCAATTAACTGCCCCTGTTTGCCTTATTTGCTTTCGTGTGCTACATATTAATCCTTTAAACTTTTCTAAGAGGTTTTATACATGTGTTTTTCTATTATGTAAATTGTTATTGATTTAAATAGTTTGTTTCCTAAGTTGGTTTTAAGATTAACTCTTTAACCACACTTAGTTATTTGAATTGTGTGATTTTTAGATAACACTCAGGACAAGTGTTACAGAAGTCTTATGTTGATAATTGATGTTGGGAGCTAGAATTTATGGTCAGGGATAAGGTATTTCTTAAGGTGTCTCCTATGAAAGGAGTGAAGAGATTTGGGAAGAAAGGTAAACTAAACCCAAGGTATATAGGCCCATTTGAGATCTTAGAGAGAATTGGAGAGGTTGCTCATTGTTTGGCATTACTACCTAAATTGTTAGGTATTCATCTAGTGTTTCATGTGTCAATATTGCGAATATACTTATATAATCCTTCTCATGTGATATAAACTCAAGAAATTCAGATAGACCCAAATTTATCATTTAAAGAAGTTCCTATGGCTATTTTGGATAGACAAGTAAAGAAGTTATTATCAAAAGAAATTGCTTCGGTGAAAGCATTGTGGCATAACCATTTTCAAGAAGAAGCTACATGGGAAGTCAAAAGTGATATGCCTGCTAAGTATCCACACCTATTTAAAGATTGAGATAAGCACAAATTTAATTTGAAGGACTGAATTTCTTAATGGGGAGAATGTAATAACCCTGAAAAAACAAAAATAAATTGTAATAATAATAAATATATAATAAATTGTTTAGAATATATTTTATTTATTTATGTTTGGAATAATTATGATAATATGAGGTGTTGGTAGAGTGGAAGTATGTGTGCTAGTCATTTTTAAGGTCACAGGTTCGAATCCTCTAATGAAAAAATGGGATTTTATTTTTTTCAACTCCTCTAAAATTACCAAAATACCCCTCCCTCACCATATTTTTTTTCTTTCTCCTCTCTCTTATTTGAGTTGGCTTACAGAGTGTGAGAGAGAGGTAGAGAAGTTTGGAACTCTAGTGTAATTTATCTCTTCGTCCTTTTGTGTCTCTGTCTTTCTTCTCATTTTCAATGGTTATTGATGAGAGTGGAGGTTGTCACAGCTCTTAAATGTCCAAGAGGTTCGCCTTCGTATCTCCCATCTCTATCTTTCTTTCTCTGTCTGTTGCTCTGTCTGTGGTGTTCACATTTGAGTTACTACTGGGGTAAGAAACCAAGTCACCGGAGCTGTTGGTAGTGCTGTTGTGAGCTTGATCAGTCAACTCGTGACTCCTGCTCTCTATTTTTTTTCTTTTATTCTAAATTATTTGGGTCTTTCTCCTTCCTCTGTTCAGGTGATTGTGTGAGTATTTAGATTTTCCTCCCCTTCACTTTCATTACTATTTGTCGCCAGTGAAGACTGTGGAAGCTTTATTGGTTTTCTCCTCCCTATAACGTGTGGCAACATTGAGCTTCCTCCCCTGTTCGGTGTTAAAAAAATCTTCTTTTCTTTTCTCTATTTGTTTACCACGGTTCAGGTTAGCTAAGTTAAGGTGAGGAATTTTAGACCTTCCATTTGTTGGCTTGCTGTATGTGTGAGTGTATGTGCTGCTGTTGCTGCTCTGTGTGTGAAGTTACAACATTTTAGTTTGTTCCGCTGTTGCTGCTCATATTGTTGTAGAGAGGAGAAAATTCAAATTTTTAAGCATGGAATTTATATTGAAGTCTAATAATGATGTATGTATATATATGGTTCCAAATAATTAAGGTGAATTGATTTTTGTTGGATTGGTTAATCTTAAGCAATTGTTAGAATGAAAGTGAAAGGGAAGAGCTTAGTTGTGAAATTTGAAATTGGTGCTTATAAGATGTTTGTTAAAATGCTTGTTAAAGAAATTAAACTTGATTTTGAAATATTTTGAAATTTTATTAGTTCTTGGGATTAGTATGGTTATTGTCAAATTGTTGGACATTTAACTGAATGGTGGTAGATAATACACCTAAGGTGTTTGGTGAAAATCATAGGATAAAATTTTACCTTAATAGAATGGCATGGCTAAAGCAAATTGGAGGATATTAACGATATGAATGATAAAATTTGAGCCAACTCTAAAGTATGAATTTTACTTTTTGAAATTTTAGATGATAATGGTTAATTGAATTGTATTAGGAGTAAACGAAAGTTTTTATAAATTAAAGAAAATTTATTAAATTTTATTTACTCATATCCTTATAGAGTGTGTGGAAGAAGAGAATTCTGACAGAAATTGAAGAGAGAATAATTAATAATTTAAAACTCCGACATGTAAGTCAATGGAATCCCAGTTAATTTACTTATAATAGTCTTTTATTAAAATATTTATTTTTATATAGATCATTTTTATTTACCATGATAAGTTGGATATGCTGTAAATGAAAGTATTTTATCATGAGAAAATACAAATGGTTGCAAAGAATAACTAAGATGTGGTATGTACATATATTTTCATTCATGAGTTATATTTTCAAGATTTATGGTATTATTTCTATTTATTTGAAAATTTTTGAATATTTAATAAATGTTATCATGCACATTATTTATGAAATTTTATTTTTAATGAATATTAAATTGGAATTTGAAAGAATTCATGTGAGTTTGGTATTGATAATGCAAATTGTATTTTAGAAGTGATTATTTTTCTTGCACGTTTGAAAAATAATTTTTAAAAGACTCTAAATAGAACATTATTGCTAATGACAATTTTGTTAGCCCATAGCGTGTTATAGTTAATAACTAGCTAGTTTGTCTCGTGGGCTTGGTCATCATGTTTGTTATTTATGGGCTTCGTACTTGCATTTGATTTTCATGGCCTTGATGTCGCGTTTGGTTAGTATTATCCTTGTGGATTGTATGTCCACGTTTGTTTTATAGCTTAGGTGCACTTGGTTACTTACCCTCATAGACTATGTGTTTACATTTGTCTTCGTGACATAAGCCGTGTTTGGTTATTTACTCTCGTGAATTGTGTGTCTATATTTGTTATTTGTTATATTGAATTCTCACAATTCTAAATTTTGATTGACATGTGTTTTTAAAATTTCAATGATTCAATTAGCAAGTGTATTATTTTGATTTAAGTATGAATAATTTGTTTCTTTAAGCATGATAGAATGAAGTGCTTTCAATTGACTCTCATTTATGATTAAAAATTTATATTTTTTTAGTTATTATAATGAATTATCCCCTTTTCAATTATTGTACATGATTATTTAAACTTATTATTTTTACTCTTTTAAATTTTATTTGTGGGGTGTTATTCACAGAAAAAATTATTTTAGTCTCAAATTCACTAGCTGACACTAATTCAACCACTTACCTTTAAAGGGCATACAAATATTGGGTGAAAATTTTGTTTTGTATTGTATTGTTATCTTTTGATGTAAATATTTAAAACTCATGTATTTTAATATAGAAGTAAGATTAGTTGCTCCACATAGATTATTGTTAGTGTTTTACTTTTATATACATACTGTTTGTTGGCTAGAACGAGCTAAACTCTTGATTTAATTGATATTTTGAGTGAATTAATGTATCGTAGAGTTTTCATGAGGTCTTATATCGAGGGAAGATTCTGCCAAAATTTCTATAAATGGGTTGAAACTTTGTTGTAATGATCGGTATCAAAAGTGTTATGATTTCAATATAAATTTGATTTCATTTTTGAATTAGAATGAATTTAAGATTTGATGCTTATGAGGATGTGTGACACAATTCACATCCCATGTCAATCATTCTCCATTTTCGAGGCATGACAGGGGCATTCTATAACTAGATCATCAAGCAAATTCAAAAGTTTTTTTTAAAAAAAATTACTAGCAAAACGACTTCTAAGCATCACTAGAAAAACACAGAGCTTCCCAACTTCAATTATTTAACAAGGTTTAGCTTTAAAGTAAGTAAAATAGAACTATGTCCTTTTTCGTCAATAAATTTCAATCAGCTTTGCGCTCCAATTCCGCTCTTACTTCACACCCATTAGATATACACAGAAAAGGAGGGAGGAAGATTTAAAGACACCACACTCCCATCAACACACCATAAGAGAAAAGAGATAGAGCATTAAACTCTGACACATGACAACCCACAATAATGACAAGTATCTATTAAACTAGATGCTTGAAAAATCAGTCGTTTAATTGTGTAGTCCAACTCGTACACACAGAACATACAACCCTCTGCTAGCTACTCATGCAAATTAAATATAAATATACATGTAACTTGAATTTAAGCTACAAGACATCACCTTTTTTACTTCAACATTCCTCTATCAATCATTCTATGAAGAAGTTTTGATGCCGTATAATTTTTATTTCGCTCGAGAAGATTTTGAATAGTGATTTCAAACGTTACAAAATTAAGGAGGCAACCATTCTCTTTATGCTATAAAGCAAGGCCTCTGCTTCGTCAAGCAAACCATTTTTGCAAAGTCCATAAATCATGACATTATATACATGGACATCTAATCGATAACCTTTAGCCACAAGATAATGAAAAATCTTCCACGCATCATCTAATTGACCACCTTTGCATAAACCATCAATAGGTGCGGTGTAGGTCTCCATGGTAGGCTGAAATTCTTGATTACCAAATTTCTTAAATAGTGTGATTGCCTTATCAAGATAGCCCCTTTTGCAAAATGCGTCTAATAAGATTGTGTAAGTGATTATGTTAGGATGATGACCCCTATCACGCATCTCATAGATAACAAGGTTTTCCTTGACTTGCACAAGCCATGAATAACAGAATTATAAATTACAAGATCAGGAATCAAATTTCTGTAATGCAATTCCTTAAAAAGATCCATGGCTTCATCCACCATTTTCATCTTAAAGTATGCATTGATCAAGATACTATAACTAAAAAGGTTATGTTCCAAACCCCCTTTTATCATCTTATTAAAAACTCCCTTAGCCGTGACAATATAATTAGTCAAACAATGCCCATCTATTAAAGCACTATAGGTAACGACATTAAGTTTTTTATCAATCTTCATCATCCTAGCAAAAATAGCCCCAACTTTTATAATCCCTCCTTCTTTACATAATGCATCAACTAGGATGTTAGAGGTATAAACATTAGGAGAGATGTCTTTCAATACTGTTAGGTTATCTACCTTTAGTGGATCAAGCCCATATAAAAGCCCAAATTGAGGAATGGGGCTCTTATGACAATTATGAGAAATGTTTGGGTTCAATGTCCAATTTACTCAAGGTCTCAAATGTAATATTCTCCAACCTTTGAATTTGAGTCATGAACGATTAAGAAGAAACTGCCACACGTTCCCATAAGAGATGGTTATGGGTGCAGTTCTCAGTTAGTTTTGTTTTTTGTGTGAAAGAAAGAACCAAATGCTTTTGTTTTCTTGGCTTCTCATTCTCTCAAAGTGTGCATTTGCTGTGTATATCCAAATGAAGTTCGACCAGTGTAGCTTTATTCTCACATACGTACATTTAAATCAATGACTCAAGGTATGTTTTCCTCCTTAAATTCTCACATTGGTATTAGAGCTTTCATCTTTCCTAGGCTATGTTTCCTATGTCTAAAGAATCTATAATGATTTGCTTAACCATATACATGCAAATCTATAAGCTTAGTTTTTTTATTTTCTTACTATGTTTATGCATGAGTCTATCTCTATCTATCTTTAAGATTATTACTGCTAAAATGAATGTATTTATATGCTTCTTGGTTAATATGAGTGTTTCACATATAGCTATACATGTTTTACATGCAATCAACAGTGACAAACATAATGATTGAAAACAAACCAAATAATGGGTGTTTGAAAAATAAGTTTTTTAAACAAAAGGATTGTATAAACATGTAGAGCTCAAAAAAATGAAGAAAACGACACCAAGAATGCGTAAAATGGAGACTAGACGGAGGAGATATAGCCTCTAAAAGTATCGGGTCTGATGGACCCGACCCACTAAAGGAATTGGGTCAAGTTGACCCAGTTGGAGAGATGACAACAAAAACAATGTGTCATTTCTGTCCTCATCAAAACAACACGTCATGTTAATGTGTCGTCCTAAAAAAAAGAAAAGCAATACTTTTGGGCTATGAGCCTAGAAGCCCCCAAAAAAAAAAAGGAAAGGTCTTGGGCTTGGAAGCCCAACCAAAAAAAAATTGGGTTTATAGGTCTACGGGTCGTGTATGTAAACCCAACCTAGTTTAAAAAAATAAATAAAAATATATATTTAATTCATTTTTTTGAAAAATAAAATATAAAAATGGACATGTGGTGCATGGGACCCATTGGGAGACTCCATCGGCATGTGGTTGACCCCACCATGAAGTTGTCGACGCGTGGAGAACAACGGTCTAATGCATGTCATCACTAGAGCATGATAAGGCGGCACGTGTTGTATACGCGCCTCCCCAAGAGTGGAACTTTTTTCTCCTAGAATTTCTTGATCCAAAATCATTCGTAGGGCACGTGCCAGTGCGTGTGGGATTAGATTAGGACAAAATTTGTCTTAAAAAATTCCTAAATTCGAGATCTACATTTTGATATATATTTTTCATATTTTAGAGACAAAAAAGAATTTATTTTTTGAATTATCTAGTGCTGTTTATGAGTTTAAAAAAATTTCTAATTTTTTTTCTTCTTTCTTATTTTTTTTGACAAATATGAAGCAAGAGGCTTCTAGCAGCACTGATAACTCAAAAAATTATTCTATTAGCATTGAGCATCTGGAAGAACCAGATTATGAGACTTTGAGTGAGGATTTCGACCCGAAATCCTTCGTAGAGGAGGAGGAGGAATATGAACCTCGAAGTGAGGATTCTAATTTTGATCCTGAAGAAGATTCCAATGTTCATCTTGAAAATGTGTTGGAAGAACTTAAAGAGGTGTGCATGCTGTCAGGACCAAAACATAAATCAGAGGGTGATGAGAATGTTCAAAATGAAAATGAAGATTTCAAACAACCTTTCACACCCTTAGTGATCATAAATATAGCAAAAAGAGAAGCTAAAAGAATAAAAAAAATTGGATCAAATTTCTCCAATAGTGAGAGCATATTTAAGTTTCATAACAAAAGAAAAACAAACTGTAGTTGTAGGAGAAATTTTCAAACAATTTAAGAAGGAGCTTGTGCAACATATGAAGCGAAACAAGTCATACTCTAGAAATCCTCTATAAAATAGAGCCATCAAGGGGATGAAAGTACAAGAAAAATATAAAGATATAATTGAGAGTTGTCTTTTTAGGTCTGCACCTCAAGCATAGTTTTGTTTTTCAAGAATTTATTTTTTATGCTGTATTAAGACCTTGATGATTTATGAAATATATGAAGCATGTTGTTTTATGTTTAATTGCTTTATATATACTTTATTTGAGTAGGAGCTCTAAAGTGATAAATCATTTAAGAGCCATATATAAAGATTATGAAAATATTTGTAAAATTCTTTATAGACGATAGTGATTTTGTTAGAATCAATATGATGGGAGATACAAACGTAGCCTCCTAATTGTTGACCTAATAGAGTTGTTATCACTCTAATAAAGAATAATACAAATATAAGACATTGTATGTTTCTCATAAGTATTTTATTCTTGGTTTAATATAGAAAACTATTAATGTGGGATAGTTTCATCTCAAAACTAAGAATGACAACAAAAAGCATTACCGCTAAATTAAATAAGGGTGACAAATTAAATGGGGATAACTGGAATATCTGGCACCATAAGGTGTCATATATTTTAGAAGAATAAGATGCTGTTAAGCCACTGATTGTAGTCATGGCCGAGCCTAAGGTAGGAAACTTGGCTCAGCATAGGAAAGACCAAGAGGCATTTGAGGCATGGAAATGAAAAAATAGCATCACACGAATAACACTTCTAAATGCTATGACGGACGATTTAATGTGCGAATTTGAGAAAAACTCCACTGTCCAAGCCATGTGGGCTACCTTAAAAGAAAAATTTGATGATACCTTAACTACCAAACTGAGAAAACTTATAATTAAATTCAACACTTATAAACTAAAGCCGAATACTCATATGTGACAGCACCTTATAGAGATAGCTAACATGATCCATAAACTTAAAAAAGCCGGGCACAATCTTTCTGATGAATAGCAACTACATGTTATAATCAGATCACTTCCAACCAACTGGGAGCATATGAAAGTTAATTTAATCCACAATGAAAACATCGTTAACTTTAACGATGTGCCTAAGCACCTGGAGCTAGAGGTTGAACATTTGGAGGCTTACAAGTCATCTAGACAGGCTTACCTTATCGATGAAGGTAGTCTTTCAAAATCTAAGCCTAAAAGGGGCAAGAAGCAATAAAAGAAGGGTAATAAGAGTGGCCTTAAAGTAAAGAATGGCAAAAAAATTTTCAAGAAAAAGGGCAAGAAGAGCGGTAAAAAGAGAATTAATCTTAAAAAGGTCAAATGTTTCGCTTGTCAAAAGATGGGCCATTTTGCAAAGGACTGTCCTGAACAAAGTGGACGTGATTAGATACTTGTGAATCATGTGAATTCACATTTTTTATATGTTTCCAGTAATGTTTTTCTAACGAAAACTATTTTCTCTTCTTAGGTTGTAAACTCAAGGTCTACAAACCACATAAGCAAGGATCGTGGATCTTTCGTAGAGTACCGTTAATTGGTGAATCAAAGCAAGTGACTTTACGTTAGCAACAACGTGAGGATCGAGGTAAAAGGCATTGGAACTTGCGAGTTGATCTTGCGAGGTGGAAAAACCTTAATTCTCCACAATGTTTTACATGCATCGGACATCTGACGGAACTTAATTTCAATTGCTTGCCTTTTAGAATTTAGGTTTGTAATTAATTTTCATGACAAGATTGTTGACATTATGTACAATTCAACTTTTTATGGTTGTGCTTTTCTTTCAAAAAGGTTCTTTATTATAGATATTGTTAACAAATTTTATTTTCATGATTGCTTTACTACCTCTTTCAATAATGTAGATATGAATATTTGGCATGCTAGACTAGGGCATATTAATCAAAATAGAATGATTAAGCTAGTTAAAGAAGGAATGCTAGGTCTAATTACAAACATAAAAATGTCTTTATGTAAAAATTGTCTAGCAGGTAAAGCAACGAGAAAACCTTTTAGTAAAGGTGTTAGGGCTGTAAATCTATTGAAATTAATCCATTCTGATATATGTGGTCGTATGAGTATAAGGGCAAAACATGGAACTTGGTATTTTTTTACTTTTATTGATGATTTTTCACGTTTTGGTTATGTCTATTTGATATCACAAAAGTTTGAAGCTCTTGAATGCTTTAGATGATACATTAATGAGGTTGAAAATTAAATGGACAATAAAATTAAAGCATTATGAACTAATCAAGGACGTGAATACTTGTTTGATCAATTTAAAGAATTCTATGAAGAAAAGGAAATAATTAGACAACTAACTATTCCTAGCACTCCGCAACAAAATGAAGTTGCTAAAAGAAGAAATAGGACTCTTTTAGACATGGTTAGGTCAATGATGGTGCAAGCAAATCTTCCAATCTCATATTAGGGGGACGCTTTACTAATTGTAACCTTCATACTTAATTGTATGCCCTCGAAATCATTTACTTCCACACCCTGAGTTATGGATAAAACGCAAACCGGATTTAAATATCTTAAGACTATAGGGGTTAGTTACATATGTCCATGATGATTCTCATAAATATGGAAAATTAGGTCCAAGAGGGAAGAAATGTATGTTTGTAAGATATTCTGAGCAATCAAAAAATTATGTTTTCATTAGTGAAAATGATGATGGAACTGTAACTGAATTTGAATCTAGGAATATCACATTTTTAAAAAATGAGTTTCCTAGCATGGGAGAAATTGATCAAACTGTATCTCTTTATGAGACACGAGAGCAGCATAATATAGAACACAAAAAGGCTTGAATCATCGTAAAATTCTTATCTAAGTGGGAGCTCTAAAAGGTCTGCCAGAAGACCTAAAAAGAATTAAAATCCACAAGAGACCCCACTTTAAAAAAGTAATAGAGAAAGTGTGCCAAAAAGACGCTTCCAAATTAAGGGTGAAGCATTGGTGGTAACTCCTCTAAATGATGATGAGCCATGTTCTGTAAATGAAGTTTTATCAAGACTTGTTAAGAATAAGTGGAAGAAAGCAATGGATGAAGAAATGGATTTCATGAGGACCAACCAAGTATGGAAATTACTTAATTTACCACATAGCCGAAAGGCTATTGGGAATAAATGGGTTCTCCAAATCAAAAGAAAAGTGGATAGATCAATTAATAAATACAATGCTCGCTTAGTAGCAAAATGGTATACACAATAAGAGGGAATAGATTATGAGGATACATTTTCTCCTGTTGTACGCTTCAATTCTATCAAACTAATTATGGTAATAGTAAATAGTCTGGACTTAGAGTTGCACTAGATGGATGTAAAAATGGTGATCTAGATGAAGAAATTTATATGCAACAGCCATTAGGTTTTATTGAAGAAGGAAAAGAAGATAAAGTATGTAAATTAAATAGATCAATTTATAGACTAAAACAATCATCCAGATAGTGGTATTTAAGGTTGCACAGAGCAATAACCTCATACAACTTTCAAATAATTGAGGAAGACCACTGTGTTTACATCAAGAGGTTCAACGAGAACTTTGTAATATTATCTCTTTATGTAAATGATATTTTACTAGCGGAAAATAGTCTGGATTTGATAATCGCTATTAAAGAATAGCTTTTGTTGAATTTTGAAATGAAAGACATGGGTAAAGCATAATACATTCTTGGAGTTAAAATCTAAAGAAATTGCTCTAAGAAGCTTCTTTCTCTATCACAAGAGAATTATATAAGGAAAATTTTTGAGCATTTTAATATGAAAAATTGTAAACCCATAGATACCCTAGTAGCTTCAGGTGTGAAGCTTAATCTTGATATGGGTCCTAAAACTGAGATAGCCAAAAGGAAAATGGAAAGAGTTTCATATGCTAGTGTAGTCAGAAGTTTGATGTATGTAATGATGTGTACAAGACCAGATATCTGTTATGCCATAGGACTTGTGAGTTGCTACCAATCCAACCCTAGAGAATGACATTGGAAGGCTGTAAAGAGGATCTTAAGATACTTCAAAGATACTGTTGACTATGTACTATGTTATCAAGGGAGTGATCTACACCTAACAGGATACATCGACACAGATTTAGGTGAAGATGAAGATTAACAAAGATTAACTTCAAGCTACGCTTTCTTACTAAACAATAGGGCTATTTGTTGGAGCAACAAGAAGTAGACATGCATTTCCCTACACTCTATGAAAGCTAAGTTTGTAGCATGTACTGCAGTAGTGCAAAAGGCTATATGGCTTAAAAGATTTTTAGTACACCTTGGGTTTGGAAATGAAAGTACAAATCTAGTGTTAATTCATTGTGACAACACTGCAGCCATAGCCTATACCAAAAATCCTAAATATCATAGCAAAACCAAACACATAAACATTAAGTACAATTTTGTAAGGGATTATATAGCGCAAAAGGTTATCACTGTTCAACACATTTTCATGAAATGTATGATAGTAGATCCTTTAACAAAACCCATAGCCAAGGAGATATTTGAAAAACATGTAAGGGTTCTTGGCATGGCTAGATTGACTTAATGTAATATATTGGTTATATTAATGAGAATCTTTATTATTTCTATATGTGTACAATTGAGAATATACAATGTCTAGTATGTCGTACAGGTTGATAAGGTTGACTCTCTTATACGAGCAACTACCTTTGACATTCAAATCAAAGATGAGACATTAATGTTCACCAGCAAGGCAACAAAAATGTTGCTACAGTAGAGCAGAAACACAAATCATATATTGCCTTGATCAAAGAGCAAGTCGAGATAAGATCCGTAAGCATACTTGGATCGAGTCATGGATCTCCATATCCGTGATACCTATAGCCAAACAATAAATTCTTCTAAATTGATGTCATGTGAGATCAATAAAAAAAGAAGAATTTGGGTTTAGGTCCAATAAATATTTGAACTTAAGTTTGTATGGTGTTAATAATAAATAAAAATGATATACTCTTACAAGCAAGAGTAACACCATAACATGTGTTTCATATAACATATGCTTAAGAATCACAATAGGAAGCAAGAGAATAAATCCCTGCTTCATTGCTGTGTGAGTCTTAGAAAGGAAAAATCCTTTCAATGATGTCCTTTGACTTTGACATTATTATGGAGATATGTTACAGTGTCTGCTACTTTAACATACAGCTTATGGTCATAATTGATGCGACCTAAAGGTTTCATGTTAGGAAAGCGACTGTTTCCTATTAAAGTGGTATATGGGCGAGAGAAAGATTATCTTAAATATACATGTTTATGCTCGTATTCAAGACATGTCCCTTATGAAATAATTTGTGAATTCATAAGTGTGGATATTACATATATAAGAGAGACTATCTGAGTCTTGAATTGACTTAAGAGGGATCAAATCAGTCATAATGAGAAAAAGTATATATTGATAAATCTAGGACATTAAGGCACAAATTTAATTAAAAATAGATTTAACTTTAAGGTTATTTGTGCTAGTCCTTTATAGGATTTCCTAATACAAACAACCGAAACAAAGACGTCAAGCTTAAGCGGTCACAGAAAAGCACCTTGTATGAAGAGAAGAAAGAGAAAGATATAGGACTGACATTATCTTCTCCACCAAGTGTGAGTCGAAGATGTTGGGTTATCCACCTTTAGTGGATCAAGCCCATATAAAAACCCAACTTGAGGAATGGGGCTCTTGTGATAATTATAAGAAATGTTTAGGTTCAGTGTGCAATTTACTCATGGCTTCAAATGTAATATTCTCCAACCTTTGAATTTGAGTTATGAACAGTTAATAAGAAACTGCCGCACGTTCCCATGAGAGATGGTTATAGATGCAGTTCTCAATTAGTTTTGTTTTCTGTGTGAAAGAAAGAAACGAACGCTTTTGTTTTCCTGGCTTCTCATTCTCTTAGAGTGTGCATTTCTTATGTGTATCTGAACAAAGTTCGACCGGTGTAGCTTTGTTCTCGCATATGTACGTATAAATCAATGACTCAAGGTATGTTTTCCTCCTCAGATTCTCACAAATACCATTTTAGTGAGTACTTGATTTGCTTCTTGCCACTTGTGCATAATACAAAAACCATAGATTAGATTGTTATACGTAACAACATTTGGTGATATCCCATGATCAACCCTATCATAACACAAACCAAGTGCTTCAGTAACAAGTCCATTTTTGCAAAAGTGCACCAATGATTGTGTTGTAGACAACTACGTTAGGTTTCACTGACTTTTTTTCCATCATTTGCAACAATTTAATAGTAGATCTTGTTTTCCCTGATTTACATAGCCCATTGCTCAACGTGGCATAAGTAAACTAGTCCAACTGAAATCCTTTAGCCATTATGTCATCATAGAAATCCAGTGCCTGGCCAATGTTTTGATTTAAACACAGTCCCTTTACTAGCATATTCAACGTTACCACACTCGGATGATAACCTAACTTAAAAAATTTCCCCAACGTAGAGAAAGCAGAATTCATCCGACCAATGTGGTAGTAGCAGTTCATCAAGATGTTCAGGGTAACTAAATTCCGTGTGAATCCGTTCAACTCAGATTGTGCAAAAAGTAGGATGGCAGCAGCAAAATATTTCATCTTAGCCATGCATCCTAAAATCTTATTAACTTGGGGTCCGGAGGCAAGGGGCCGCTCATGAAGGATGTGGTGGAATGAAGCGATGGTGCCGTGGATGCTGTATGGATTTGAGGGATGGGAATGAAGATAACATGTGAGAGAGAAGGAAGAAGGGAAAGAGAGAAGGAAGGTTGGGGTGGAAAAGAGAGGGAATCTGGTGATGTACCTTGTCCTTAAACTTGAAGCAGCAGAAGATAACATATTAGGATCATAGATTGAAAGAAGACTACCTCCGATGCTTCAGAATGCTTCCTCCACGAGATTCCAGTTAGGGCTTCACCGAAAGGAAGACGCATCAAGCAAATATTCATGAATAACAAAATATTCTGTTGTTAGCCGTTAGTAATTAATAATGCTAACTACGATGAATTCAATAGTCATTGAGGGAAAGAAATATTCTTGAAGCCAAATTATTTATATCCATTTTTTCTGCATATTTATATCCATTTTTTTGTCAAATGAATAACAAAATATGCCTAAATTTTTTATAAACAATTATTTTTACAAAATAAAATTTTCATATTCATTAAATGGGCGTACGTATTTGATAGGAAATAAACTGATAATTTATATTCTGTATTTCCTATCTTATTTAAATGATGAATTCAAATGTTGCAAAAACATTTAATAAATCCAAACTATTTATATTAAATTTAAATATTTTCCATGTTAGGTAGCTTCAAATTTTTTTAAAACTAGTATGTGGCGCATGCGATGTACCGAGCTTTAAAGAAAATAAAAAAATAAATAATAATTGTTCATAATATATTATTTTATTTGGTCAAAATAAATTTTATAGTGCTAGCTATTGACATTTACAAAGCATAAGCTAATTCTAAACTAAAATTTATAAATATCACAATAATGTTTCTTATTAACTTCTAAATAAAATAATTTGTGATGCATATGATATTTTTAGGTTTATTTTTGTAATTGTAATTATGATACAATTAAGAAATTATGATACAATTAAGATCAATTAAATTTAAAGCAACCTTCTAAAATAAGTTTGAAAATGATAATCCAATAATTAATCTTCTATTGATTTAAAAAATATTGAAAATGGTTCAAATTAGTTTACGCCAAAAATTAATTTCACATCAATTTGTTTTTCACTGAATTTTATGAACAATTATTATATTTTATTGAAAAAACATAACTTTAGGTCCATACACTTTGCTCAAATTTTACTATTAATCCCTATACTTTTTTTGGTGTTTTAGGTTCTTCTAAGATCCCTATACTTTGTTCATGAAAGGATCTAAAACAATGAAAAAATAAAAGTACAGGGACCAAAAATATCATAAAAAAGTACAGGCATCAAAGTACAGGGACCTAAAGTTATATTTTTTTTATTTTATTTATTTAAGAAGAACTTGCTATGAATAAAAAAGGAATGAATATAAGGAGCAAAAGATCATGGTTGCCAAAAAATAATTTAGAAATCTTGAATCTTTACTAATTTAGACAGAAAAATTCATAAAGTTGGCTATAAATATGAAAGAAGGCTTTTTAACCAACTCTTAAAACCAACCCATTTGACTAGACATATGGACTTAACACGTGAAATTTATATGTCAAAATAGCATGCTAAGAATCAATCAATAAACTAACAATATCTATTATTTGGTTGAAAGTTGTTGAAAGCCATTTGACGCACCCAAAATGCAACTTGAACGGTGCGCAAGGGTGGAAGTTTTGGCTTTCAAAGTGAAAATTAATGAAATAGAAGTCGTCATCAAAATTTTAAGAAAAATATTGGATAACCATTTAAAGAAAATAAGGATGGTCTGTAAAATTAAAAAACAGGTTCAGAAGTCGATTAAGTATGGGAAAGGTGTTAGGTGTCTTATAACACCCATTTGTGAGAACGGTTACCTAAAGTTAATTGTGCTAAAATAATATGACTTTAAAGTTATTTTAATTATCCCTTTCTTATTCACATGTTTCATATATATAAGAAATGATAATAATAAAATAAGAAATATTTATTTATTTATTTATTTATTTATTTATAAGGGACGACTTGACTCAGAATCAGACTCTAAGATTTACATACCTTGCGATGAGAATCAAAGTCCATGTAATTTGGGATTATAAATTGTTGGTGAAAAATTTTTTGAAGAGAAATTAATTAAAAATAATTTACCATTTTGCAAATAAAATAATTTTCTGAAATTTCGATATGTATGTTTTAAATTATAAAAAGTGATTTAATTTTAATTATTTTTTCAATTTTTGAAATTTTAAAATAAGAAAAAAGGAGAAGATTTTAAAATTGTTTTGTTTATTTTTTTTATTTTTCATATATTTAACTGTTATACTTGTGGAGCCTTATTGGCTTATATGGTAAAACAATTACTCTAAATATATGTGAAGATTCTGAAATCTCGCACAACAAAAGAGTCTATCGGCTTAATTTATTTTACTCAATGTCTTTAAGTATTAATAATAAATTTCTAAGCATGTGTGTGTGTGTATTTTTTTAAAGAATCTTAATCATCATACCTGCAAAACCTTATTAACTTATACAGTAATATGATTATCTTAAATATTTGTGGAGATTCAAAATCCTCACACAATCAAGAATTAAATAAAATTCATTTAAGTATATGTTTAATTTAATTGATTTATCATGTATGTATATAATTTATATATTTCTTTAAAAAACTTAATCATTATACCTGCAGAGTCTTATTGATTCATGCAATAATATGATTATTTTAGAAATCTATAGAGATTTACAATCTCACCTGATCAAAAGATTTAATATTTAATATTCAAATCCAATAATTAATTAGTTAGTTTTTATTATGTCAATATTATTATTTACAAAATGTGTTTATTTATTTACTATATAAATTAGTAATTGCAATAGTTATGAGGACTTATTATCCCACATAATAAGGCGATTAATTCAAATATTTACAGAGATTTAAAAATCCCACATGACCAAAGATCACATCGGGTAAACATGATTATAATTTAAATACATTAATTTAATTAATTGATTTGTTGTTTTTTAAAGGTGTCGATTATATTATTATTTACAAAATCCATTCATTTGTTTACTATATAAATTAATAATCGAGACATTTGCGAGGATTTATTATCACATGATGATATGATTAATTTAAGTCTCTATGAATATTCTTGAAATCTTACATGAGATTTAAATATTTTATTGATTTAAAATTATAAAATAGAGAATTAATTTTAATGATCAGCCATTGAAACCCATTCTTAATATATACAATATTGATCCTCATACCTACGAAATCTTATTGATTTACATAGTATGAAATTATTCTAGATGCCTACGAAGATTCTTAAAATTTCATATAACAAATAGGTAATTGAAATATTTGCATTTGCAATCGGTGCATAAAATGAATGTTTGCTAAAAAATTTATGCAATAAAGGCAATGGATGGAATAGAGAAATAAACTATTTTGATAATTCACCCTTCTTTTGACTTGAGGATATATTTTTTTAAAAAAAATCCAGATTTGTCCTAATGCTTGGTTGGAATTCAGAGAGGAAATAACGTGAATAATGGCACCATATCTGAATGTTTAAAATCAAAAATGATATTCACGTAACAACATTGCTACCAATCACCCAATTCATCTCTAATAGAAATTAAAAACAAATTGATATCTTAGCCTTAAAAAAAGAAAGAGATGCGAATTAGGATTTTCTTCAATGTTTGAATCAAAACCATCATGGGAATGCATCAAAACTAACTCAAACACAATTAAATCAGTAGCCAAAAAATTATTTGGGAGCTTTCTTTCAAACCGAAAATAACCAAGAACGCAATCAATGCATGATACATATTTTAGAGATTAGGGGGGAAAGAAAAAGATCAAGTGCAATAATACAACTTGAAATCTAGATTAAGAAAATAGGAACATCTAACTTAAAAACACAATAGTGTAGCCATTACTTTGAAGTTCTTTTTTTCAAAAAATGGAGATCATGTTTTCACTTGCAAATTTTAAGCAGATCTAGCACATCAAACAAATTTTTAACAAGATCATAGCTAGAGTCGGGCAAACGGGTTGAGCCAGCGGGCTAACCCGTTTAACCTGCACAATTTGATGGGTTGGGTTGAAAAAATTAGCTCATTTTTTCAAACGACCCAACCCACAAAATTAGCGACCCAACCCACAAAATTAGCGGGCTGAAACGGGCTAACCCGCGAGCTAAACGGGTTGACCCGCAAACTAGCATATTTTTTAAAAAATAATTTTTTATTTTTTAAATATATTATATCTTTTTTTAAATCTACAATAATGATAATATTTCTTAAATATATAATTTATGACTCTCAAATATATTCTTTACATTTGAAATATAGTGTAAATTCTTTTTACAATTTGTAAATAAAATTTTTGTTATAGTTTGTGAAGATGATTTATTGGTTTTTATAGAAATATTTTAAATATATATTATTTATTAATCTCATAAAATCTATTGATTGAAATTATAAATATGAATTCACTGAGAAAAATAATATGAGTTTATATTTAAATTTTCTTTTCAGTGACAAAGATAGCACACCTAAGCGAGAAGATGATTGATAGTAAAAATCTAGCAAAATGAATTTACTTGGTTGAATTCTATGTTTATTTTATTTATTTACAAGTTTTTTAATTGCTAATTTGCTTTAAAATATGAAATAAATAAATATATTTATATTATAAAAATTTTAAATTATTAAAAAAAATTAGATAATTTTTTGCAGGCTAGCTGGCGAGTTGGCTAGTCCGCTAGAAAATGGGTTGGGTTGGATTTTTCAGCTCATTTTATCTAGCGGGCTGGCCCAACTCAACTCACAAAAATACCATCCCGTGTGGGTTAGCCTGCAAGTTGGCCCGTAAATCATTTGCCCAGTACTAATTATAGTCACAGTAGATATGGCTTCAAGCCATAATCAATTCCACAAATTATCAACAATATTATAA